TCATGCCGTTTGCATTGACAAGTATCTCTGTCTTTTAGTGAAGAGGGTTTTACCCAGGAAGGGTGCAAATTACAATAATTTGAATAAGAAACTCGGATGAAGGTGTTTTCAGACATGAAAATTCAATAAAGTATCAGTTAAAAAAACAAATTCGTTTCTCGTCTTGCTGTTTTGTGATAGTGTCCTTTGTTCCAGTATACGGCTGACGCCACCCCTCTCGTAAAAAGTAGAATAAAGTCGAGGGATCCCGCTTTAACTCCGTACATCTTATCAAGGCTGATTAAAATACAGATCTATCTGGTTTCGAATCCCCGGTTGTACGTGACCAGGAGTAGGGTCCGCCTGTCCAACCTCGTGGGTTTTCTCTGGGTCCTCTGCTAAAGATCCCTACGCACAAGAGAATTATTGAAATGAAATTGAACCATGTGTTAGTCCCGAAATGACCTAGTTTGTGTCGGGTGGACGTTAAACCCCATCCTCTTTCCCTCTCTGATCTATATTTCGTTTCTATACTTTCGATGGCCTACTCTACATGAAGATCTGACCTGTTGTACTGGAAGGTCGCGTCAGGGGTATTACGAGCAGCTTTTGACCCTAGGATCTGGTTGAAGTGAGAGATTATCCAATGAAACGGTCTGTTACAGCGAGCTTTTGGCGTGTGGTGCACGGAACAGTGGGTAATCCACTAGAAACATCAATTCTGATTGGTTAATCAAATGTCTGACGCCAAAAGCCACTCGTATGATCTCTGACGCGACCTATCACTACAACCGGTCAGATCTTTATGTAGTGTAGGCCATCAAAAGTATAAAAAAATCGGGAGCAGGTCGTTTCATCCCACGACCGTTTCACCCCGGGCTGTTTCATCCCAAATTTACAAGGGTCGTTTCATCCCACAAACAGGTATTACTTATTTTTAATATTTGTGATCTCTCACGCCTAAACCCGGCATAAGTCGCACTAATTGATTTTGCGCTATGGCACGTTAAACCTATTATTTGTTGAAAATGCATTGAGATGTCAATTTTTTTTTTTTTGTCTAATTAGCAAGATTAAACACTAATTTACCGAATAAATCATCTGAAATGTTGGAAATGTATTCTTAAAAGCTCTTAAATTATGTTTTTGTAAAGGGTACGCCTTTAAAACAAAGGAAAATTGACTTATAGCAATGCAAAATTCGCTTGAATTCACCGACATTTACCACGCTGTTGGTATCCTAACCCCCTTATATGGGTGTAAACAGTAAGCTACGTCATTCTCCTTGTCTATTTCGAGTTGGGATTCCCAGATAGCATCCTTTTTGACCAATAAAAGATGGTTTTAGTCACCACATTCAATATAATCAAACACAGCTTGTTGCTAGACAACGGGCCAAAAAGACCGCCGCTGATTGGCCGAAAGGCCGGTGCGGTGTATTGTGGGAAGATGGCGGCGCCCATGAAAAACCAATGTGATCGGATTTTTCGTCCTTTTTCTACTTCACGTAAATACCTGGTCAAACTAATTAATAAGTTGGATTTAAGACACTTCAGAACGAGAGACCGGTGCGGTGTATTGTCTGAAGATGGCGGCGCCCATGAAAAACCAATTGTTGTCGGATATTTCGTCTTTTTCTACAAAATACGTCACGCTTTGTTTACTTCCGGATAACTGTTTAGCGCGAAATTCGTTCTCGTTTAGCAGACGCAATCCGAGAAGATTTTTTAACGAAATTTTGGATGAGCGATGTTGACAATTTCCACACCATTCTATACAGAAAAAAAGGTAAACAATTTTATATTAATAAATTGTATATTAATATTAATCCTCCCGAATCACCACGAGTGCTATTTATAGAAGGTGCGCATGGTAGAAGTCGGTCAGTGGGTCACAAATGTCAAAATCATTCACTTGGCTATCCTTGTTTGTAGGCTAGCCAACACAATTTAAACAATTGTTTAAATATCGATAAAAACCCACTAACATCATCCAACCTTCGATTCAGGGTGATTACTACTATACTACCTATAGTAAAATAGTTATATAGGCTACTAGTACTAGCAGGTGCCCGTGGGTAAAGAAAATAAAAAAAAATAGTTGGTTAGTGGGTCACAACTGTCAAATTCATTCCCGATTTAGTTATTCTAGGCCTAGCCATGCGATCTTTTATTTTTTACAAAAATTCATTATGCATTTGTATTGGTCACAATAAATTTGTTACCTGTGTGTTGGCTTTCCTTTATTAAAATACTGAGTAGGCCTATGTACAGCTACTGTCTGATACATTGACATAATCACAATAATAGGCCTATGTTAACTTGGCTATGTACTGCAGGACCTAGCAGTAGCAGTCCAGTCGCAATATGCATGGTACAACAATATCATTTCATATTATTAAAATATATATAGTACTATACTATTTATATTATATCATTCTGTTTCTGCAATCTGAAATGAATGGGTTTTTTTTTTATTAGATACACCCCTACATTTAGTGAAAGTATTACGTAAATAGTTATAATAAGCTGTACACCTCATTTAAAATGAAATACAATGAAGCAAGATTTAGATTACTGAATTTCATGAATAATCATTGATATTTGTTTTTACTGATATTTTAACTAGTTTATAGTAATAATGTAAATATGACAATTAATTTCTTTTTCAGATGTGTTCAGTTTGGGCCTAAATTTCAAATACAATAACTATAACATGTATGATTGGCCTTATTAATAATAAAACTACCTTTATGTGATGGTAGGGTAAGTTTAAGAATTATATTTTTCTGCAGCTATCCAAAATAATTTTTTTTTAAAAAAAATATAAACAATATCATTTAATATTATTAAAATATCTTGTACTATTATTATATCCTATAATGAAGTGAAAGCATCACAATAATTCATTATGCAGTTGTATCGGCCACAGTATAAATTGGTTACCCGTATTTTGTCTTTCTTTTAAAATACTCAGTTGGCCTACTGGTACATTGACAATTAATTTCTTTTTCAGATGTGTTCAGTTTGGGCCTAAATTTCAAATACGATAACTATAACATGTATGCGATTGACCTTATTAATAATCAAACTACCTTTATGTGATTGTATGGTAAGTTCAAGAATTATATTTTTCCTTCCTTTTCTGCTGCTATTGAAAATAAATTATATTTTTCTGCAGCTATCCAAAATAATTTTTTTTTTAAAAAAATATAAACAATATCATTTAATATTATTAAAATATCTTGTACTATTATTATATCCTATAATGAAGTGAAAGCATCACAATAATTCATTATGCAGTTGTATCGGCCACAATATAAATTGGTTACCCGTATTTTGTCTTTCTTTTAAAATACTCAATTGGCCTACTGGTACATTGACAATTAATTTCTTTTTCAGATGTGTTCAGTTTGGGCGTAAATTTCAAATACGATAACTATAACATGTATGCGATTGACCTTATTAATAATCAAACTACCTTTATGTGATTGTATGGTAAGTTCAAGAATTATATTTTTCCTTCCTTTTCTGCTGCTATTGAAAATAAATTATATTTTTCTGCAGCTATCCAAAATAATTTTTTTTTTAAAAAAATATAAACAATATCATTTAATATTATTAAAATATCTTGTACTATTATTATATCCTATAATGAAGTGAAAGCATCACAATAATTCATTATGCAGTTGTATCGGCCACAATATAAATTGGTTACCCGTATTTTGTCTTTCTTTTAAAATACTCAATTGGCCTACTGGTACATTGACAATTAATTTCTTTTTCAGATGTGTTCAGTTTGGGCCTAAATTTCAAATACGATAACTATAACATGTATGCGATTGACCTTATTAATAATCAAACTACCTTTATGTGATTGTATGGTAAGTTCAAGAATTATATTTTTCCTTCCTTTTCTGCTGCTATTGAAAATAAATGTTGTTTTTTTAAAAATATAAACAATATTATTAAAATATCCTGTATTAATATTATATATTCTTCTTTCTGCGGTCTGAAATAAATGGGTTTTTTTTTTGTATTAAATACAACCCTACATATGATGTAGTGAAAGCATTACAAAAATTCATTATGCAGTTGGCCACAATAAATTTGTTACCTGTATTTTGGCTTTCTTTTAAAGCAAGAATTTCATATTTTCTAAGAAAGTAAAAACATAATTATTACTATTTCTTTTGCTCAATAGGTTGTCAACGCCCATAGATAGTTAACGATGCCTAGAATTTGTGGGACTGATATTCATGCAGCAAATGCCCTGAATGACTTGCGCCATTCGAACATTGTTAACAATGTTCATGAAAATGCATTGTATGAACTTGTCAGTGAATATTTCGCAGATTCTGTTGATGACATGAATGGTGAGGATTTTGATATTGATCATGAGACTGGTTATGATGAGCCTGATGAAATCATTAGTGTCTTGGACAGTGCAGAGGACCCGTCTTTGGCTGACGATTTTGATGTACCAGTGGTCCTTGTGCAGTTGACAGGCATTATATGGACAATGTCCATGAAGATGATGATATTCAATCTGTTGATGAGGATAATGAAGGTGATGTTATCCGAGAAAATGATGCGCAGACTATCATGGGAATGGTAGGAGAGTTGATTTGCGACACAGATAAAGAATGTGAACTTCGTAAGATTCAAGATTACCAGTGTTCATGTGCTGCATTTAAGAAAAATGGAAAATGTCTGAAGCAGCTCAGCGTGGAACTCATTTATGAAATGCGTTTGAATATGTCAGCCATGACTGACTTTGAGAAGGACTTAGTTATCCTTGGTAAATTGAGTACCACCATGAATAGGTCAGAGATGACAACCTGTACTAAACGTTCAAAACAGCAAAAGCGTCAACGTCAACGAACCAGCTACTTTGTTGAGGGACACCAGATCTGTCGTTCAGCGTTTGAATTCATTCACACGTGAGTTGATTTTTATTCAAAAATATGTCAGCATGTTTTTACATTTGTCTGCTTTCATTCTACTAGTAAAAAATTTCTATATCTAGGGGGAGCCATCTCAATATTTTTCAATAAAATAGCAATTACCTATCAATTTTGTGTAATAAAAGCCTGGTAGAATAATAATGTCCCGGCCATCTAGACTTCAAATCGTTGCAAAAACTGACCTACTAATGTCATGCAAAATCTGACCAAGATACTTGACAAGACATTTTCCATTGGTCAAAATACCGGAAGCCATCAATTTTACTCAAATTAAATCACATTTGACACTCATTTCATCTTTGCAATGCCTGTGGTCTTTACGAAAAGTGTTAAAATTTTTGTATAACTTTTGACGATTTTTTCTTTGGACTATATTATGTCCAGGTCCTGTAGTAATTACGCTGGCTGCATCTTACTGGTCAAAAGTGTAGGACCGTTTCGTTTTTTCTGTTACCTTACGTAAACAGCAATAGGAATGTCAATGTAAAGAAATTTCAGTCTGCAAAATATACCTACGTCAACGGCAACAGGAATTTCAATATAAAGAAATTTCAGTCTTTAAAATATGTCATACCCAATTAGGCTATACATGTACATGATTGTTTTCATGTATGTGTACCTGATTTTTGTTTGACTTGACTTTGTCCGTGTGACTGGGTAATTGCATACTTAATTTTGTATCAGAGATTGTGTATTTTGATTCAGTTTGAGTAAAAAAAGTGCCAAAAATACTATATAATATTGATTTGATTTTATCTATGATTCATAAATATAACTTTGAATCCATTTGGTAAAAACGTGTATCGTGATGCAGCCGGGTTATTGGGCTAGTACATGATACTGTATCATATTGTGGCACAGTGTATCATTTCCACACTATTTTGTGGTGCAGTTCCCACTTATCAGTGGTGCAGGACGGCAGACAAGAACAGCTGTCTAGTCGTTCAGATGGTACAAAAAAATGAGGTGATGTGTACATATTGGCCAACACTTAAAATATTCCTTGGAAGTTGAAATTCAATATAAGATGTTAAGCCCCATTTCATTTCATTTCAGCATATCTGGTGACAAGCTTGACAGTTGCATCAAACATTACAAGGAGCACGGCCTCACACCACGAGTAAAGAAATCTGGTGGAAGACGAGCTGAACGTCGATATTTGACCTATGATGATATCAAGCGTGTTGTGTCGTACATCACCTCCTTCACAGAAACTCATGGAATCATCTTACCAGGAAGGATTCCAGGGTTTAAAGATTTCACAATGAAACTGCTTCCATCATCAGAAACTAAGGCCTCTGTCTTCCGTAGTTATGATACCGCTATGGATGAGTTAGGTAAGATTAAATTGACATTCTGTAAGATTAATACATAAAGGGCTGACAGTTCTGCCTATAATAGTTAAAAAATAGACAATAGACATTTTCTTCCATAATTTATTTACATGTTCCAGAGACCAAAGACTCAAGCATTTTAAACTTAAATTTATCTTCACTTGGATTCGACCACTAATTCGGCACACCTCGGTAAAACGGCAGTTCGTTATCAAGTTACGTCACAACTTTGTCTGACGTCAAAATTGATTTTTTTAATTTTTACATCATTCAAACCGATTTACTGTTTTGCGAATTTTGAAGTTTACACAATAAAATAGGTTCTGTTAAAATCCTGATAAAGAACATGTTACAGTGTCGATAAACACCTGTTTCGCATTTAGATCTCAAGACCCAAGACGCCTTGGCATCGCAGGTTCTAATGTAAAATCTCAGGACAGGTCTTTTGGACAATAACGGGCCCTCTAAATGCGAAACAGGAGGTGTTTATCTCCTAATTGAAATTTATGCTAGCCTCGGTCGTCAAAATAACGTTACTTACGATAATTAACTTTACCTACGAATTTCCCTTTTCAGGAGAACGTGCAGTAAAGATATCAAGTTTTCGGCAACTCTGGAATACACTACTTCCATTCATAGTGTTTTGTAAACCCCAAACTGACCTTTGTTGGACCTGCCAACAAAATAACTATCAAGTTTATAGGAGCCACAATCTCCCTGATGAAGTAAAGAATGCCAAATTACGTAAGCAGCTTGGTCATCTTCAGCTGGTGGAGGCAGAACGGAATGAATACAGACGAATGGTGGCTGATGGGAAAGGTGTTGCTGCAGAAATTGAACAACCGTTGAAGCTGGGTCCTCATCTACCCATGTCGGGTGATTTTCACATGCATTATTCTTTCGATTTATGGAGTTCTATGATGAACATTGTCTGCTTACGGTAAGCAGAAATAAGGAATCTGATTGGTTGATGCTTTAAGACACGATAACTTTGGTTATAATGAAGTGAGAGCGATGGAACTCCGGATATAGATTCATTATGTCATTACCTTGACTAATTTCAATGGTGAGAATTTTCTTCATGGGCTAATGAGCGATAAGCAATTTGATTGGTCAAGACTTTGGAACATAACAACTCTGCTTTTAATTGATGTAGAATGTTTAGACTTGATGTAGATGTTCATTAGGTGAATGTCTTGACTGAGTTCAATGATTAACATTTCGAGCCGAAGCTAAGCAGAGCTAATCAATTTCATTGGTCAATGTTTTGGGACAAGATAATCTTGATTCTACCTGATAGAGAGTGATGAAACATAGTGTATAGTTTGATTGCTTGATACTTTTGGAGAGAAAAAATAAATGTGCGATTAATTAATGTGTGTCATCTATTTATTTTGGGATTTCGGTGGGGGACATCAGCCTCACTGTTGGCTTGTTTTCTTTTAGTTTTTGTTGGACACATTGAGCTTTCATTTGTTCTCTTAATTCTTCAATTCTTGATCTTACTTCATTCTCTGTCAAGCATTCTGCAAAATTTCTTCTAAGACGTTTGCTTTTGTCCGACACCGTATTTGAAAGTTTAATCTTTAAATGGTTCAAAACGGCTTTCTCCTAACCTAACTTTGGCGTTAATGGTGGATTTGTGTGTAGGTGTTGCATCGTCTGATGCAGAACAAGATTCAAAAGCAAATGGTGTAGATGGACTTTTTTTGCAGCAAAAATTCTATTAGGATTGGGGGGGTGGATGGCCGAATGGTTAACACGTGAGTGCTGTATCACACGGCCTGTCATTGAGTCAACTGGCGTGGTTTCGAATCCCCGGTTGTACGTGACAAGGAGTAGGGTCGCCTGTCTGACCACGTGGGTTTTCTCCGGGTCCTCCCACTGCGAAAGACCCCTACGCGCAAGCGAATTGTGTCGAGTGGACGTTAAACCTCATTTCTCTCTCTCTATTAGGATTGTAAGGAGAAATACATGTAACCTGGAAAAACACTTTGATAAGCTTTTGTCATTATTTTATGGCGTTTTTTCAGCGTAGTTTTGTGATACTGATTCTATTGTTGTCCATGTTGATTTTATAGACTTGTAAACACTTCTATCTAGTGGTTAAAGGATGTGTGAAGTATGGACAGGAAGGCATAAGATTTCAAAATGATTCTCTTGTGCCATATCAATTATGGCTAAAGAAATATGGGAATTGTGTCCATCAAGGATCGGTAGTTTTGATCCTCTGATTGATTTAGTTTCCTCTATAAAAAATATTAAGGAACCATTCCTTAAATGTATTTGCTTCTATCCATCCACTGGGCAGGACATCATAACGCTCAATTTCTGGTCCACCTTAAAACTAATTTTGATACAAGTGCTTTCCATTATAAACAATGTATGGACTTAAAAACTTCCCGTGAGCAGAACAGCATTCTTTCACTTTAAACATCACTTTGGTAGTAGTTCCAACAGTTTTAAGAGTATTTTTCCTTCCTCTCCTGCACAATATTTTCTGTTAACTGCAAACTGTGATGCTCTGTTCAATGGCATATTTTGTCCAACACGCCGAATAATAACATCAGACCACAGCTTTTCAAAACCAACAACCAATCGTACCCTGGCTTTCCATTTGGAAATTTATATTCTATTTTTGTTTTACCTTCTACAATCAGGAGAATATCATGTCTTGTCAATTCCAAACCCACACTCTGCCAATTTTACAGTGCCGTGTATTAATAATTCCTCTTCATTTGGGTGTTAATATTGTTGGATTCACGATATGCTTATTTGTTACATTGCATAACACTAGTCCGATTAATACAATATAACTCTGCTGCTTTTTTTTTTTTACAGATATCTTGTTATTTATAACGTCTTCAATTACTAGCTTCATAGTAGCATTTCCAGCATAGCTATAATTCATTCCCTTATTGACACAATTTGCACATTGCCCTTTACACTTACCATGTAATGCTTTCAGTTAAATGAGTTTATACAAAATTCGACATAGTTACTTTTGCAAATACATTTTTTTTTCGCTACAGGCTCGCGAAAACAGCGGTAATTCTAATTAACATCTATGAATCCAAGCCTACATTATTATTGAATATATTTATTACAATCTGAACAGACCCATCCTACCTGCTGAGAAGTAAAAAAAAACAGCCATCATTTAGTTTTCGGGTGTTAGATACGTATAATTGTTATATATATATATATATATATATATATATATACATATATATGACAGAACAGTCAACTAGGCCTACCGTATGTAGGTGATTTGTTTCTTGTCTTACGGCATTTACAATTCCCACGTATAGTTAGAACTTGAATTGATAATTATACCTAACTGACTTCTTGAATAATGACAAGGCCACATAATAATGTCTTAAGTCTTCGAAGCGGACGTGTTGTCCAATAGAAATATGCCAATAGACTATTTTTATGTCTATGTGGTGTCCACAATTATTGACAATATCTGACTGCACATACTACTCCCCGTCAAGCATGGGAAAATGTAACTTTAGCTAGTCAAGAAAAATTGCGTCCCTTGCCGAAATAAATCCCAACAATTCACTTGGTTCATGCGTTATTGAAAAACACGCATGAATTTTAACGACGATGTTAATCTGGCTAAGTATTACGCGGCCTGCTGAACAATGCGGCTATATATTTCACATCAATGTTGCTGATGTAATTGATTTGGAACTGCACCACATGGGACATGAACTGAGGAAGACTTTTACACTGGAGATGGTGACAATGTCTGTTTTACTCTTGGTGTAGACTACTTACTATTGTTAGAAGCATTTTCCTTCAGTCAATGTTCCTCAACCCTTTTTTAGTTTCATATATGTATATATAATCCGTTCTTTTCTGCTTCAGGAAATAACTTTTCTATGTTTTAATTAAGCCCACTATGTTCTAATTTCATTACCATGCTAAATATTTTTTCACAAAATCGTTGTTCCTGTTCTGCTTTAGAATAAGAGATTTCCAAGTTTAATTTTAAGATGTTAAAACAAATTTTCTTTACCTCTGGAGCGGATATAAATAGTATGAAATAACAAGTCTTCTTTGTGCTTATGAGCTCATAATAATGATTAAGACTAATAATAGAATGGATTTTAATTAATATAGCAACAGTGCAGATAAATATACAAATGAAGTCTGTAACCAGCGGCTGCCAGATGGATAGAGAACAAGCTAAAAACAAACGGGATTTTTTGTACAATCACGGGCTATTAATCCAGAAGGTTATGGTCTGAAATGCGCAAATATCAAAAGGGACTGAGATCTTTGGGGTATGAAGATATGTTTTAAGTTTCATCAAAATCGGATAAAAATAGTGACCTCTAGATGGTCAACAACCTTCGTAGCATACATTTACACAATTTGCGTACAAAGTGCGGCCATTTTGTCGGGCAGTTTCATTTCGATTTTCCCGAAATTCGAATTCAACCTTCATTATGGTGGAATGGTGACATTTCCAGGAGCCATAATCCAGGAAGTTACGTTCGGATATACGCGATTATCAAAAGGAACCAAGGTGTTAGTGTGTAATGGTGATATATTCACAAGTGTTTTTTTTAAATCAGATAAAAATTGTGAAATCTACATGGACCGCAAGCTAATAACGTGATTTTTTGTACATTCACGGGCCATAATTCAGGAAGATACGTGCGAATATCGAAAGGACCAAGATCTTTGGGTTATAAATTGTATTTCAACTTTCATTAAAATCAGATGAAAATTGTGAACTCCAGAGGATCCACAACCCTGATACACAACATTTTGACACTATTAGCGAACGATAAATATTGTGACCTCTATGGGTTCCACAAGCTAAAAACGTGATCTTTCGTACAATCAGGGACCATAATTAAGGAAGTTATGGTCCGATATGCCCGAATATCGAAAGGAACCGAGATCTGTGGGTTAGAAACATGCATTTCAATTTCAAGTTTCATCAAAATCAGATGAAAATTGTGACCTCCAGAGGGTCCACAACCCTGATACGCAATATTTTGACACTATTTGTGAACGAGTTTCGGTCCGATTTTTACGAAATTCGAACTCTTAGGATGTAACGGTGATATATTCACACGTTTTTTAAATCGGATAAAAATTGTTACCTCTATGGGGTCCACGAGCTAAAAACGCGATATTTCGTACATCAGGGGCCATAATTCAGTAAGTTATGGCGCGAATGTCTAAAGGAACCGAGATCTGTGGGTTATAAACATACATTTCAAGTTTAAACCAAATCGGATAAAAATTGTGACCTCTACAGTGTTCACAAGCTAAACACGTGATTTTTCGTACAATCAGGGGCCATAATCCATGACGTTACAGTTCGATACATGCCTATATCGAGAGGAACCGAGATCTTTGGGTAATAAACCTTTATGTCAAGGATAAAATGTGGGCGTTTGAAAAATGAAACGGTGGTCGGTGTAGTGGTTCTTCCACAGAAGGATACCGCATACAGACAAAAGGAACGGTACCCAGATTGTTAGCCCTTGATCGTTAACGTCATACTATTGTATAAAATCACTATTTCGTATATTATAATCAACCTTTTATGAACCTCTTTCTCACCTTCGGGTTTCTAATAAATATCTACCTCGTAAACTGAAATTGTTGCCAAATCTTGACTAGTTACATAGCTCCTTCACGTTAGAGGTTGAGACGTTATAGCTGGCATATTTATAAGCAAAAATGTCGCTGAATATCGTGATCAATAACTGCTTGTCCGCTTGAAGATCGAGAACCAGGTGATTAGTTCTCGAGAGCTTCCCCCAAGGCGGCATAAGAACTCGCTCGTGAATACGTCTTGGACCCTCTGAAGTCGTAAGTGATTTCCGTGGTTTAATTCTGTTTTAGACAATCTTTTTCATATACCGAAACACATACCTTTCAAATATACCAGCCTTTGTTAGGCACAGTTTGACTTTTCGAATAAAAGCAAAATGATAGAAAGAATCCACACTTTCAAATTTTGCTCTTTTCAGGATATCAATAGAAAGATCTTTCGATTGATCGCTGGTATGTTGGCATTTCGAAATACCATGTCTCTTTTTTTGTAACTTGAACGCTTCAATTCTCATAATTTTTCTATGTGGTAAGTATTGAACATAGTACCCTCGACCGATCGAAAGTACGTTTTAATGTCTTTTCGATTCTGTTAAAATGAACAAGATTGGAGCCAGGTAATTGACGCCGTCGAGCACTTGAAAATAGTATACAACGGGAAATTTTGTAG